TCAGGAGTAAAGATTTTCTTAACAAGTCACATAATAATTTGCATGGCCTCACTCTGTGTGCAATAATGATTTTTTAAAGTTTTTTACATGATTTTTAAATGACTACCTCATCTCTCTACCACACACATACAATTATCTGTAAGGTCCCTCAGTCGAACAGTGAATTTCAAACACAGATTCAACCACAAAGACCATGGAGGTTTTCCAATGCCTTGCAAAGAAGGGCACCTATTGGTAGATCGGTAAAATAACATAAAACAGACATTGAATATTATAGCATGGTGAAGTTATTAATTATACTTTGGATGGTGTATCAATACACCCAGTCACTGCAAAGATCCAGGCGTCCTTCCTAACTCAGTTGCCAGAGAAGAAGGAAACCACTCAGGGATTTTACCATGAGGCCAATGGTGACTTGAAAAAATGTACAGAGTTTAATGGCTGTGATAGGAGAAAACTGAGGATGGATCAACAACAGTGTAGTTACTCCACAATATTAACCTAATTGACAGAGTGAAAATAAAAAATATTCCAAAACTTCCTGTTTGCAACAAGGCACTAAAGTAATACTGCAGAAAATGTAGCAAAGCAATTAACTTTTTGTCCTGAATACAAAGTGTTATGTTTGGGGCAAATCCAATACAACACATTACTGAGTACCACTCTCCATATTTTCAAGCATAGTGGTGGCTGCATCATGTTGTGGGTATGCTTGTAATCGTTAATGACTGGGGAGTCTTTCAGGATAAAAAGTAAACAGAATGGAGCTAAGCTCAGACAAAATCCTAGAGGAAAACCTGGTTCTGTCTGCTTTCCACCAGACACTGGGAGATTAATTCACCTTTCAGCAGGACAAAACATAAAACACAAGTCCAAATCTACACTGGAGTTGCTTACCAAGACAGTGAATGTTCCTGAGTGGCCGAGTTACAGTTTTGACTTAAATCTACTTGAGAATCTATGGCAAGACCTGAAAAGAGTTGTCTAGCAGTGATCAACAGCCATTTGACAGAGGTTGAAGAATATTGAAAAGAATAATGGACAAATGTTGCACAATTCAGGTGTGGAAACCTCTTAGAGACGTACCCAGAAAGACTCACAGCTGTAATCGCTGCCAAAGGTGCTTCTACAAAGTATTGACTCAGGGGTGTGAATACTTATGTAAATGAGATATTTCTGTATGTTTCCACCTTGTCATTATGGGGTATTGTGTGTAGATGGGTGACAAAACAACAACAATTTAATCCATGTTGAATTCAGGCTGTAACGGAACACAATGTGGAATAAGTCAAGGGTTATGAATACTGTCTGAAGGCACTGCATACACAGGCACATATACAGTGGGGAGAACAAGTATTTGATACACTGCCGATTTTGCAGGTTTTCCTACTTACAAAGCATGTAGAGATCTGTAATTTTTATCATAGGTACACTTCAACTGTGAGAGACGGAATCTAAAACAAAAATCCAGAACATCACATTGTATGATTTTTAAGTAATTCATTTGCATTTTATTGCATGACATAGGTATTTGATACATCAGAAAAGCAGAACTTAATATTTTGTACAGAAACCTTTGTTTGCAATTACAGAGATCATACGTTTCCTGTAGGTCTTGACCAGGTTTGCACACACTGCAGCAGGGATTTTGGCCTACTCCATACAGACCTTCTCCAGATCCTTCAGGTTTCGGGGCTGTCGCTGGGCAATACAGACTTTCAGCTCCCTCCAAAGATTTTCTATTGGGTTCAGGTCTGGAGACTAGCTAGGCCACTCCAGGACCTTGAGATGCTTCTTACGGAGCCACTCCTTAGTTGCCCTGGCTGTGTGTTTCGGGTCGTTGTCATGCTGGAAGACCCAGGCACGACCCATCTTCAATGCTCTTACTGAGGGAAGGAGGTTGTTGGCCAAGATCTCGCGATACATGGCCCCATCCATCCTCCCTGCTATACGGTGCAGTCGTCCTGTCCCCTTTGCAGAAAAGCATCCCCAAGGAATGATGTTTCCACCTCCATGCTTCACTGTTGGGATGGTGTTCTTGGGGTTGTACTCATCCTTCTTCTTCCTCCAAACACGGCGAGTGGAGTTTAGACCAAAAAGCTCAATTTTTGTCTCATCAGACCACATGACCTTCTCCCATTCCTCCTCTGGATCATCCAGATGGTCATTGGCAAACTTCAGACGGGCCTGGACATGCGCTGGCTTGAGCAGGGGGACCTTGCGTGCGCTGCAGGATTTTAATCCATGACGGCGTAGTGTGTTACTAATGGTTTTCTTTGAGACTGTGGTCCCAGCTCTCTTCCGTTCATTGACCAGGTCCTGCCGTGTAGTTCTGGGCTGATCCCTCACCTTCCTCATGATCATTGATGCCCCACGAGGTGAGATCTTGCATGGAGCCCCAGACCGAGGGTGATTGACCGTCATCTTGAACTTCTTCCATTTTCTAATAATTGCGCCAATAATTGCTTGCCTATTGTCCTGTAGCCCATCCCAGCCTTGTGCAGGTCTACAATTTTATCCCTGATGTCCTTACACAGCTCTCTGGTCTTGGCCATTGTGGAGAGGTTGGAGTCTGTTTGATTGAGTGTGTGGACAGGTGTCTTTTATACAGGTAACGAGTTCAAACAGGTGCAGTTAATACAGGTAATGAGTGGAGAACAGGAGGGCTTCTTAAAGAAAAACTAACAGGTCTGTGAGAGATGAAATTCTTACTGGTTGGTAGGTGATCAAATACTTATGTCATGCAATAAAATGCAAATGAATTACTTAAAAATCATACAATGTGATGTTCTGGATTTTTGTTTTAGATTCCGTCTCTCACAGTTGAAGTGTACCTATGATAAAAATTACAGACCTCTACATGCTTTGTAAGTAGGAAAACCTGCAAAATCGGCAGTGTATCAAATACTTGTTCTCCCCACTCTACACATGGCTTTTCTATCAGGTTGGTGATGTCATATCCTTTATTTTTCTTGCTTCCCACAGCACTTTTTCACCTCGTTCGGAGCGAGGGACCGGACATACATGATGATGTTCAGACTATGGCAGAATGCTCTGCTAGAAAAGGTAAGACTGTTATATTTATGATAGTTCACTTTTAATTAAACTAAAAGACTGTGGAGTGTATTGTTGCCAATTTAGTCAAAACCCCTTCTCTCTCTGTCTCTCTCTCTCTCTCTCTCTCTCTCTCTCTCTCTCTCTCTCTCTCTCTCTCTCTCTCTCTCTCTCTATCTATCTATCTATCTATCTATCTATCTATCTATCTATCTATCTATCTATCTATCTATCTATCTATCTATCTATCTATCTATCTATCTATCTATCTATCTATCTATCTATCTATCTATCTATCTATCTATCTATCTATCTATCTATCTATCTCAGCCCTTGTGTCCCAAAGAGTTGTGGCACTTTGTCCATCAGTGTTATGGCAACGAGCTGGGTCTGACCAGTGACGACGAGGACTACGTCCCGCCGGACGATGACTTCAATACCATGGGGTGAGTTTTGACCGCATATACACATACACACCTCCCCCCCATCACCATGCATCGTAAAGCGCTGGCGCCGTTCCCCGAGCTGATAACCTTGACCTACAGCTGTTGCGCGTCCCCGTGGTGTAGGTACTGCGAGGAGCTGCCCGTGGAGGAGAATGACGCCAATGACGCCACCAACCTCGCCAAGATGCCTGACGCCAAGGGCGACACCAGCCCCCTGTTGTCCCACAGAGCCTACCCCAACAACGCCCTACCCTGTCCGAGCACCATCGAATCACTCCTCCCTGTGAGTACCACTGGATATTACACAAAATCTTGCTTTGTATCACCTACAGACAAAATGTCATTGAGTGTTCTGGAGTCAGCGGCTTAGTCCGCTAGACCACCCCAGGCCACAGTAGCGGCATTTCAACCAAAGATAAATATTATACCTGGCTGAGCTTGCGCTTACAGTTTCATAAGTATGTACTGTAGGTAGTCGGTCTAGAGTTTCACTTGACCCTTTACTCATGACCCCTCCTCCTCTATAGTTTGACTTGGCTGCCGTGGACGAGTTCCCCCTGTGTCTAACCGATGGCGAACTCCTGACCCTCCAGTTGCCGGGGTTGGACAACCGGAGCAGTGGTCACAGCAGTCCCGCCCCCTCGCCCTCGCTGGACTTCAACGACAACGAGGACCTTCCTACTGAGCTCAGCGACTCCTCCGAGACGCACGACGAAGGTTTGGGTCTCTTACACAATCGCACACCCACTCATGCACGCACGCACACACACACATTCACTATTTCACTCACACACACTGTCACTGTTAATGTATAACACACACACACCCGTCTCATCCTTTCACACACACACACACACACACACACACACTTACTCTCCTTCCTCTTCCTCTGTATGTGTGTTTGTGTGTGTGTGTGTGTGTGTGCAGCAGGGGAGGTGCAGGCCTTCCATGAGGACTTGAATGGGAAGCAGTACATCAACGAGGTGTACGAGTTCAGCGTTGACAAGATGTATGACATCCTCTTCACCGAGTCCACCTTCATGAGGGACTTCCTGGAGCAGAGACGCTTTTCAGGTGACACCACAGTACCCAGACCAGTTTTAGAGTCAGATTAAATGGACAGGTGGGGACCTGATCCTAGATCGGTACTCCTACTCTGAGACGCTTTGTGAATACAGTCCCTGTTCAGATACTGTAGAAAGGTATCTTTCTTTCTCTCTTTCTCTCTTTCTTTCTTATTTTTCTCCTTCCTTCCTTTACTGATCTGACATGGCTGGATTGGTGAAAGCGATAGGGTGGAAACCTCGCATTCACTTATCCAATAATGCACAGATCAGTAATGGAAGGAAGGCAGGAAGGATGCATTTTGAAAGAATTTAACAAAACCTCAGTGTGTGTCAGACTAAATGTTAAAGAAGTAAGGGCTGATCTTTCTGTTTGTCTAGACATAGTCTATCACCCCTGGAAGAAAGAGAAAGAGGAGACGGGCAACCAGACCAGAGAGATCATGTACACCATCTCCCTCACCAACCCCCTGGCCCCCAAGACAGCCACCGTTACTGAGACGCAGGTGAGTAGAGCCCCCCAGTGGCACTGCATGTCATAGCAGTTTTAAATGTTGTACATAGTTTGTTTTCATGTTTTGTTTGCACTTGACATACCGTAACTACAGTCACTGTAATGTCACTGTTAAATGTAAACACAATGGTAACTCTTTTTTTTTAATCACCTGTGTGTAATGCATTATGAATGCTATTATGGTTATGTACTTTATGTATTTACAGTCGTGGTCAAAAGTTTTGGTCTCCACAAACTTTGCTGCCTCAGTGTTGATGATGGCAATTTGCATATACTCCAGAATGTCATGAAGAGTGATCAGATGAATTGCAATTAATTGCAAAGTCCCTCTTTGCCATGAAAATGAACTTAATACCCAAAAAACATTTCCACTGCATTTCAGCCCTGCCACAAAGGACCAGCTGCCATCATGTCAGTGATTGTCTCGTTAACACAGGTGAGAGTGTTGACGAGGACAAGGCTGGAGATCACTCTGTCATGCTGATTGAGTCAGAATAACAGACTGGAAGCTTTAAAAGGAGGGTGGTGCTTGAAATCATTGTTCTTCCTCTGTCAACCATGGTTACCTGCAAGGAAACACGTGCCGTCATCATTGCTTTGCACAAAAAGGGCTTCATAGTTAAGGATATTGCTGCTAGTAAGATTGCACCTAAATCAACCATTTATCGGATCATCAAGAACTTCAAGGAGAGAGGTTCAATTGTTGTGAAGAAGGCGTCAGGGCGCCCAAGAAAGTCCAGCAAGCGCCAGCGTCTCCTAATGTTGATTCAGCTGCAGGATTGGGGCACCTCCAGTGCAGAGCTTGCTCAGGAATGGCAGCAGGCAGGTGTGAGTGCATCTGCACGCACAGTGAGGTGAAGACTTTTGGAGGATGGCCTGGTGTCAAGAAGGGCAGCAAAGAAGCCACTTATCTCCAGGAAAAACATCAGGGACAGACTGTTATTCTGCAAAAGGTACAGGGATTGGACTGCTGAGGACTGGGGTAGTCATTTTCTCTGATGAATCCCCTTTCCGATTGTTTGGGCCATCCGGAAAACATATTGTCCGGAGAAGACAAGGTGAGCGATCCAATCATTCCTGTGTCATGCCAACAGTAAAGCATCCTGAGACCATTCATGTGTGGGGTTGCTTCTCAGCCAAGGGAGTGGGCTCACTCACAATGTTGCCTAAGAACACAGCCATGAATAAAGAATGGTACCAACACATCCTCCGAGAGCAACTTCTCCCAAGCATCCAAGAACAGTTTGGTGACGACCAATGCCTTTTCCAGCATGATGGAGCACCTTGCCATAAAGCAAAAGTGATAACTAAGTGGCTCTGGGAACAAAATATCGACATTTTGCGTCCATGGCCAGGAAACTCCCCAGACCTTAATCCCATTGAGAACTTGTGGTCGATCCTCAAGAGGCGGGTGGACAAACAAAAACCCACAACTTCTGACAAACTCCAAGCATTGATTATGCAAGAATGGGCTGCCATCAGTCAGGATGTGGCCCAGAAGTGAATTGAAAGCATGCCAGGGCGGATTGCAGAGGTCTTGAAAAAGAAGGGTCAACACTGCAAATATTGACTCTTTGCATAAACTGAATGTCATTGTCAATGAAAGCCTTTGACACTTATGGAATACTTGTATTTATACTTCAGTGTACCATAGTAACTACTGACATAAAGATCTAAGAACACTGAAGCAGCAAACTTTGTGGAGACCAATACTTGTGTCATTCTCAAAACCTTTGACATAGGCAGCATTAGGGAGCCATGGGTTGTTATTTACATTTACGTCATTTAGCAGACGCTCTTATCCAGAGCGACTTACAAATAGGTGCATTCACCTTATAGCCAGTGGGATAACCACTTGACACTTTTTTTTTTTTTTTTTTTTTTTTTTTTTTGGGGGGGGGGGGTTGGAGTAAAGGGGGGGGGGGGGGGGGGGTAGAAGCATTACTTTATCCTATCCCAGGTATTCCTTAAAGAGGTGGGGTTTCAAATGTCTCCGGAAGGTGGTGAGTGTCTCCGCTGTCCTGGCGTCGTGAGGGAGCTTGTTCCACCATTGGGGTGCCAGAGCAGCGAACAGTTTTGACTGGGCTGAGCGGGAACTATGCTTCCGCAGAGGTAGGGAAGCCAGCAGGCCAGAGGTGGATGAACGCAGTGCCCTCGTTTGGGTGTAGGGACTGATCAGAGCCTGAAGGTATGGAGGTCCCGTTCCCCTCACAGCTCCGTAGGCAAGCACCATGGTCTTGTAGCAGATGCGAGCTTCAACTGGAAGCCAGTGGAGTGTGCGGAGGAGCGGGGTGACGTGAGAGAACTTGGGAAGGTTGAACACCAGACGGGCTGTGGCATTCTGGATGAGTTGTAGGGGTTTAATGGCACAGGCAGGGAGCCCAGCCAACAGCGAGTTGCAGTAATCCAGACGGGAGATGACAAGTGCCTGGATTAGGACCTGTGCCGCTTCCTGTGTAAGGCAGGGTCGTACTCTCCGAATGTTGTAGAGCATGAACCTACAGAATCGGGTCACCGCCTTGATGTTAGCGGAGAACGACAGGGTGTTGTCCAGGGTCACGCCATGGCTCTTCGCACTCTGGGAGGAGGACACAACGGAGTTGTCAACCGTGATGGCGAGATCATGGAACGGGCAGTCCTTCCCCGGGAGGAAGAGCAGCTCCGTCTTGCCGAGGTTCAGCTTGAGGTGGTGATCCGTCATCCATACTGATATGTCTGCCAGACATGCAGAGATGCGATTCGCCACCTGGTTATCAGAAGGGGGAAAGGAGAAGATTAGTTGTGTGTCGTCAGCGTAGCAATGATAGGAGAGGCCATGTGAGGATATGACAGAGCCAAGTGACTTGGTGTATAGCGAGAATAGGAGAGGGCCTAGAACTGAGCCCTGGGGGACACCAGTGGTGAGAGCACGTGGTGCGGAGACAGCTTCTCGCCACGCCACTTGGTAGGAGCGACCGGTCAGGTAGGACGCAATCCAAGAGTGAGCCGCGCCGGAGATGCCCAGCTCAGAGAGGGTGGAGAGGAGGATCTGATGGTTCACAGTATCAAAGGCAGCAGACAGGTCTAGAAGGACAAGAGCAGAGGAGAGAGAGTTAGCTTTAGCAGTGCGGAGAGCCTCTGTGACACAGAGAAGAGCAGTCTCAGTTGAATGACCAGTCTTGAAACCTGACTGGTTTGGATCAAGAAGGTCATTCTGAGAGAGATAGCAAGAGAATTGGCTAAAGACGGCACGCTCAATAGTTTTGGAGAGAAAAGAAAGAAGGGATACTGGTCTGTAGTTGTTGACATCAGAGGGATCGAGTGTTGGTTTTTTGAGAAGGGGTGCAACTCTCGCTCTCTTGAAGACGGAAGGGACATAGCCAGCGGTCAAGGATGAGTTGATCAGCGAGGTGAGGTAAGGGAGAAGGTCACCGGAGATGGTCTGGAGAAGAGTGGAGGGGATAGGGTCAAGCAGGCAGGTTGTTGGGCGGCCTGCCGTCACAAGTCGCAAGATTTTATCTGGAGAGAGAGGGGAGAAAGAAGTCAAAGCATAGGGTAGGGCAGTGTGAGCAGGACCAGCAGTGTCATTTGACTTAACAAACGAGGATCGGATGTCGTCAACCTTCTTTTCAAAATGGTTGACGAAGTCATCCACAGAGAGGGAGGGGGGGGGGGGGGGGGGGGGGGGATTCAGCAGGGAGGAGAATGTGGCAAAGAGCTTCCTAGGGTTAGAGGCGGATGCTTGGAATTTAGAGTGGTAGAAAGTGGCCTTAGCAGCAGAAACAAATGAAGAAAATGTAGAGGAGGGAGTGAAAAGATGCCAGGTCTGCAGGGAGTCTAGTTTTCTTCCATTTCCGCTCAGCTGCCCGGAGCTCTGTTCTGTGAGCTCGCAATGAGTCATCAAGCCACGGAGCTGGAGGGGAGGACCGAGCCGGCCGGGAGGATAGGGGACATAGAGAGTCAAAGGATGCAGAAAGGGAGGAGAGGAGGGTTGAGGAGGCAGAATCAGGAGATTGGAGGGAGAAGGATTGAGCAGAGGGAAGAGATGATAGGATGGAAGAGGAGAGAGTAGCGGGAGAGAGAGAGCGAAGGTTGCGACGGCGCATTACCATCTGTGTAGGGGCAGAGTGAGTAGTGTTGGAGGAGAGGGAGAGAGAAAAGGATACAAAGTAGTGGTCGGAGACTTGGAGGGGAGTTGCAGTGAGATTAGTAGAAGAACAGCATCTAGTAAAGATGAGGTCAAGCGTGTTGCCTGCCTTGTGAGTAGGGGGGGACGGTGAGAGGGTGAGGTCAAAAGAGGAGAGGAGTGGAAAGAAGGAGGCAGAGAGAAATGAGTCAAATGTAGACGTAGGGAGGTTGAAATCCCCCAGAACTGTGAGGGGTGAGCCATCCTCAGGAAAGGAACTTATCAAGGCGTCAAGCTCATTGATGAACTCTCCAAGGGAACCTGGAGGGCGATAGATGACAAGGATATTAAGCTTAAATGGGCAAGTGACTGTGACAGCATGGAATTCAAATGAGGAGATAGACAGATGGGTCAGGGGAAAAATTGAGAATGTCCACTTGGGAGAGATGAGGATTTCTGTGCCACCACTCCGCTGACCAGATGCTCTCGGGGTATGCGAGAACACATGGTCAGACGAGGAGAGAGCAGCAGGAGTAGCAGTGTTTTCAGTGGTAATCCATGTTTCCGTCAGTGCCAAGAAGTCGAGGGACTGGAGGGTAGCATAGGCTGGGATGAAGTCTGCCTTGTTGGCAGCAGAACGGCAGTTCCAGAGGCTGCCTGAGACCTGGAACTCCACGTGGGTCGTGCGTGCAGGGACCACCAGGTTAGAGAGGCAGCAGCCACGCGGTGTGAGGCGTTTGTGTAGCGCTTATAGCAAGTCTTATTATGCATTATGGGTTTATCACTTATAGAAGGCACTAAAACGTTTAGAAAAAGCACCACATTAATTTTGAGATGACAAATAGCTGAAAGTCATTTGCAGCCATCCAATAGCCAGAATAGGCCTTTTTTGTCTGTTAACACAACTGTGTCAAATTTGTGTGGTCTAGACGCTGTACAAGGCCAGCCAGGAAAGCGAGTGCTACATCATAGATGCCGAGGTGATAGCACACGACGTCCCCTACCATGACTACTTCTACACCCTGAACCGCTATGTGCTCACCAGGGTGGCCAAGAATAAGTGTCGGCTCAGGTGAGATAGATATCCTGTTTTCCATCTATACTTCCTGTGAGTGGAGATGGGGTGCCTCTGTCGCCTAGCTGTTCAAATTCCAACCAGGCACACGTTTTCTCGCTACTGAACACAATCTTGATAATGCAGTACTTGACTCCTTGGGTGAAATGTATTCTACCCTTCAGGAAAATAAGTTACATTTAAGGTTGATGCATACAGTGGGCCAAGGAGGTGTAATTGGAGTTTATTTATGTGTGTCAAATCAAATCAAATTAAATGTACGTGCCTCTGTGTGTGTGCATATGCATGTGCCTGTGTGTCTATGTGTGTTGGTGTGTATGTGCATGTGTTTGTGACCTGCAGGGTATCCACAGAGCTGCGCTACAGGAAACAGCCGTGGGGGCTGGTCAAGGGCTTCATCGAGAGGAACTTCTGGAGCGGCCTGGACGAGTACTTCAGACACTTAGGTCAGTTGTATCTAGAATATGACTACAACTCCTAATGGTACAGTATGTAGCCTGGGAGTATTCTTGGAGCCTATATTTGTTAGCCTGATCCACCATCCTTCCCTTTGTGCTCCTGTTTAGTTTCACTTCACTTCATCAAGATCTGTGAAGCGAAACAGAATGTAAGCTCAAGAGATCAGGATGGTTGTACGAGGCTAAGGATTGGTATCTCTGAATTAGTCACTCACTTGAGAAACTGGAATAAGTACTGTTTAGATACTGCTTCTCCAAGATAAATTATTGAAGTAAATATTTATTTAACTCAAAGAATGTGAGCACTGCTTAAGCCTACTGCTTTAACCTCTAGCTTGCATGCCAGTCTGTTTCATCTTAAGCTAACCCTTTAATAGTTGCCTTGCCTAACAACCCAAGGCAACAACTCACAACAAATGAGGTGTATATAGCAGAAACATACTGGCATCCTGGCTATTAAATCTCTGCATGATTTAGGTAGTGCCCTATGTAGGGATAGGGTGCCATTTGAGACACAGCCACTGTGTAATACAGCTTCCTTTAACTCTTTCCAGAGCTGGAGCTGAGTAAGGTGGAGGTGGTCCTGGCCGAGCCCCACAGACAGTCCCCCAAGGCCAGGTCTCTACGGGCAGGGGCATTGAGGCGACGGAAACGGCCCCTGGTCCACCTGCGGCCCCCACACATGGACGAAGCCCTCAGCCCCGTCACCACGCCCGAGGACGAGGAGGAGGTCACCCACCACCACCGCAACAAACACGTGGCAGGTCAGAGGGGCACAGGGGGACTGACTGACCGTTGATGGCTGTGTTTGACTCAGAGTATGATGTATATTTTAGGACACCCTCAAGCCTTAAGCCGCTGGGATCAATTGCCAATATGGTTTCAATCAGACCTGGGTTCAAATAGTATTCAAATTCTTTAGCTGCTTTTGATTGAGTTTTCCTGGCTCAATGGAACAACTATCAGAAAAATTCCCAGAATGTTTGTGTAACACGGTGCTGTAGCTTTTCCTAGTGATAGTTCATCACACAAACCTGTACCGCGGTACAGGGTTCTAAAAAACAAACGTTTTATTACCTGCAACTGTAATGTTTGATTAGGACAGGAATAGAATATTAGGTAATGGATGGCTTTTTTGTATTGATCCAAAATGGCCGCCTATCTTCCAGCAGGTTCCACTCAGACCAGATACATCCCGGACAATGTCCCAGGGGGGCTAGCGCTCTACAGTGTCTCCAAGCTACTCCTCATCATCAGCTTTGTGTGAGTGTCATTCCACCGCCACCCTGGGGGCTGTCACCACTGCTGGTTGTTTAAAATTCTCATTCACCATGCTGTTACTGGGAGGTGAATCCATATAAATATATTACTAGAACGGACAAAGCCCCTAAGGTGGCCGTTCTAGTCATTTTAATTCTATGGGTGGAGAAGTCTGACTCTCACCCTCATATAGATCCATTGAAGTAGCCATAGATATCTCTGGTCTCTACATGTTTTGTGTGTCATTTATGTGTCAAAGTTGCCTGTTGTGACTCATTTGATTAAATCTGGCCACTTCAACACATCTTGTTCCTTGTGTACCAATACACTTGGAAAGTGGAGTATGCTAAAAAAGTAAACATTACTGGAGACACCTTGCAGTTTTGAAGACATCGTCGCATTTGCTTGCAAAGAGTGGTGTGGTTGCCTATTAACTGTAACTGCTTCTAAACTCTTTTGCTAGCTACCATAACACTGTTTGAAAAAACCTGTCTCCAAAACTGACTGAGGTGTCTCCAGTTTGAAAATTGTAACATTGTGAACATTGTTTCCACTTTCTATGCGTATTCAAACCAACCATTCATTGATAATCTGATATATTTTTCATTTTCCCCTCTCCTACTACTCTAAAGTAGAATGTATGAGTAGGGTTGCAAAATTCCGTGAGCTTTCAATAAATTCCCTGGTTTTCCAGAAATCCTGGTTGGAAAATTCCGGGTTTCCTGCTTATTCCCTCCTGATTCCCGGGAATCCTCCAACCGGGAATTTGGGAAAACCAGGGAATTATTTGAATGTTCCCGGAATTTTGCAACCCTATGTATGAGAGGGGACATATAAAACACTGTCTTCTTTCTCTCTTGTCTGGTGGTGTGTGTAATTGTCCTCTCTCTCTCTCTCTCTCTCTCTCTCTCGCTCTCTCTCTCTCTCTCTCTCTCTTTCTTTCCCTGTCTCCATTCATGCATTCTAGGATCTGTATAAGGTATTCAACTTTTTTTCATAACACCACATTGATTTTGATGATTAGATTTGTGTTTGATGGACTTGGTTCACCTCATACATACACTGGACTAGAGTATTAACCTCCTTCCTTTGCAGTAGTTGTAGGCATTCAAATTCCAGAGGAATCCTGCTATCTCTAGTCTAACATAGACTTATGTCAGTAGTCTTACGCAGTTTCTGTCTCTGGTCTCTCTCTCTCTCTCTCTCTCTCTCTCTCTCTCTCTCTCTCTCTCTCTCTCTCTCTCTCTCTCTCTCTCTCTAGCCTAGTATTGCTGGTGTTTCTGAACATGATACTGTTTTATAAGCTGTGGATGCTGGAGTACACCACACAGAGCCTGACCTCGTGGCATGGCCTACGACAACAAGAAAGGTACTTCACACAAATACAATACAACCCAATTCAATACCAGCACTGTGGAATTACTTTGGAATTGTAAGGTAGTCAATTGTAGTATAGAACGGTTCTTAATTTGTCACTCCACAATTTACAGCAATTGACAAGACATATTGCAGATTCAAAACAACATTGCGGACCACTCTGAGTGTGTTTTTAGACACTATAAATAACCATAGACAGTCATAATACATATTATAAACTGGGTAGTTTGGGTGCTGATTGGCTGAAACAGCATTCCAGCCGTGTGTATATCATACAAAATACAGTACCACGGGTATGACTACTACTTGTTTACAGTTATATTTATGTTGGTAACTTATAATAGCAATAATGCACTTCAGCGTTTTGTGGTATATGGCCAATGTACCACTACTATGGGCTGTATCCAGGCACTCCGCTTCGCTCCTCGGACCTTATTGATTACATATCATACAGATCAGCCATAATACATTACATCCTCTAGATGGCGATATTTGACTGTGTGTGTGTATGTGTGTGTTTGTGTTTCTTTCTTTCTCTCACAGTAAACTTCCACAGACGCAGCTGGAGTGGGCCCAGCTTCTGGAGTCGCAGCAGCGGTACCATGACGACGAGCTGCAGAAGTGGAAGGAGATCATCAAGTCATCGGTGATGTTGCTGGACGAGGTGAGACAGCCAATCAGAACTTAGAATACTGATTCATAACTGACTAATTTGGTCAGAGAAAGAATGTTCATTCACAAACTTTAAAGAACATTCAAGAATGTGTGTGTGTCATAGATGGTTGTTCAAACACACATGCAGTACTGTATTTAATGTGCTCCATCAATATTTGATTTGACCCTGACGTGAATTTAGGACTGAATCAACTTGTTCCGCATGCTAAAAAACTTTTAACAAATTGCACTTCCTATTGACTTCAATGCATGATCTGCAAAAAGTGTGTCAAGTCGAGCTTGAGAAATGGACGTTTCCTTTGTTTCCTTTTCCTTTTCCTTGAAATGTTTCCTTTCCTAGATGAAGGACTCATTACTAAACCTGCAGAAGGGCATGGGCTTAAGGGAATATAACTCTGAATCGGAGGAGAAGAGAAGTCGATATCACTGACAATCAGACAATCCTTAGCCACCAGCCAGGACATTATGTGCAATATCTAACGAACCATTCATGGGAAAAGTCTTGGGAAAAGTCTTAGGAAAACAAGATAAATATGTTCACTTGCAAGGCGGCACGGGGGGACGACGACAGGTCTCCCAGTCCGACTGACTGCACTCCCACCGCCCAACGTCTGGCAGAAAGTGACCTCATCACAACCTCGTTCTCTGAGAAAGTTGTACTGTAAAGTGTTTTGTTTTGTTAGTTTTTATTTTTTCGTACGGACAAAGCAAAGATAGAAGGGATGGATCGGGGGAAGCATGCATTTTTTGTTTCCGTCTGAAAAAAATAAGACGTTTTCGGTGGAGATGTGTATGGAAACCTCGGCATACTTTGTCTCAGAAGAGCAAAAAAAAATACTGGATCAGGGGTTCCTTGTGTTCCTCCGTAGCCTTTTTAGGAACTCTTGGACAAAGTTTTGGAGCTGCAGTATCCCTTTTTTTACAGACCTTTGGACTCTGGGACCAGGTTACGATCATAACGGAACCACAATCAACGTGCAGTGTTTCAACACAACCCATCATTTCTAGGATAGAACTACCAGGAATCAAAGTATATTATAAATATATATATATATATATATATATATATATATATATATATATATATATATATATATATATATATATATGAATATATTATAATGACGTATGTATTTTTTTGTAGAAGTTAGTTGCAGTCAGGGCAAATTTTTACCAGGCTTCCATGGTGTATCAGGGCAGGTTTCCCTGAAAGCTTGTGCCATGGCGTTGTGTTTCTATGTTTGTGTTTGTGTGTTCATGTTTTCTAAGGCATGTTCTCTACTGCGTGTAGAGTAGCCCTACCCCTTTGATTTTTATTTGTGGACAGGGGAGCTAGCTATAGCTTTTAGCGGCAGTGAGAATGTAATGGATAACTGGTTACTTTGCTAGCTTGTTAGCATATACGGATGAGAAAGCAGTCCGCTTTTGCAGAGGTACACAATAGGTTTTTCTCAATATGCATACTACCGTGCTCCACACTGTCATGCTCCGAGTGCATTCTCTGTAGACGTTCTCTTGAGTACGTTCTTGTGAGGACGAGAGTGTGGAGAACGCATAAAACATCACATTTGAGAAGCACTCCCCCTACTGTCTTACCTCATGCTGCACTTCCCTATTAACTGAACCTACTTCCTGCCAGGACAATGGCAATAGAGACTAAACAAGATATACACAAAGCAAACGTTTTACTTCATAACTATCAGCTAGCTATATGTGAATCGTAATAATCTAGCTCACCAGATAGTTTAACAGGCAAAAATGACCTAAAACTAATGTTATGCAAAGTTGATGTCAATTCTTCATGGGTAGCTAGCTAACAATTTTCCGTGGATATCTGGCTAGCTAACAGTAGTAGCTAGCCAGTTAGCCCTATTGACTTACTATGGGCTTGCGATCTACACATACTACAGTGGGTTTTGTAGGCAGGTAAACACTCCAAAATGAGCATAGCATGTATTTATTAACGTATCAAGATAAAATATTGTAGTCAGGCAACATATGAGATGTCAGAGTTTATTTTCTCTCGCTTCAGCTCAAATAATGTCCGCCATTGCTTTCAAGAAATTGTACGTAATTTTTTACATGGTTGCGTCATATTTCTGTGCATACTTTCCGTTGAAACTTGCATCTATTCATGCTTCAAAATATGTACAAACAGAGTACGCATTCGAGAAGTGCCCTCCGTGCTCTGTTTCGCATACTTTGATTTGGACTCATACTCCGACCTTCCTGTGCTCCAATTTGCGTGCTCGGAGCATGATAGTATGCATTTTGAGAAACACCCAGCATTTTCCAATGATGCAACGCTCTTCCAGGAACAGGGCATTCTTGGCCCTAGCCAACCCCAAATGTTATATCAACGTTGTGTTTAGGTTTTATCCATACACGTCTTCAACCTTGTCCTTCAGGAAGATTTGTTTTAGGTTATGGATACATCTATTAAGTGTTGCCAAGATTTACGTGTCAACTTTTATGCTAACGTATCATTTTTCATTTTGGGCAGTATTGTTGTCATCTTTTATTTGGCCGCTTTGTGTTGTATCAATTCATTTGTGACTGTCCTGTATTGGCTAGAATATAATGTACTTGGGAGTGTACTTTACACATACAATGGAGCTTGAATGTGTCCCTACCTGCTCTTCAAAAATCATTTAGGTTTATTCACCCAGTTTTCAGCCCAAATACTGTGAAAACATAATGATCAGTGTTATGATAATGTGGATGTTATACTATGTCACTCTATGAAACTTCTTCACAGGGCACCTGGTTGTTCAGCTTTTTAACCACAGAGGGAGTGGACAGTATTTTAGGGAGGGTATTTCTTCGGAGAGGGACGTGATTTTACGAAGGGATACTGCAGCTGAACCGAAAAACATTGATTACTCTGAAATATTTGATGATTAAAACTGTGAACTTCCTCATTGAAAAATATGCTTGAAGCTGGAAAAAAACAAGAATAACGTAAATTGTACAGTATTCAGAGGCAGATATTTTGGGATTTATTTATGTACAGTGTATACGAAAAATTTAAAAGAAACGTTTGGGGAAACGTTCACCCACCGCAGAACTGGATTCAAATACAGTATAATTTGAAATAATTTCTAATATTTTGACTGCGCTTGATTGAGCTTTCCTGGCTTTTATGGACCAATAGAAAAGTCCTAAAACTGCAGACCCCGCCCATTTGGCACTCTAGGCAGGCTAAAACAAACTCAAAGTATTTGAAAGATTTCAAATAGTATTTGAACTCGGGTCTGACCTACTGAACTCCTCTGTCTTCCTAAAGATGTCTGTCGTGGGCTATGTCCTGGCATATTGGATGTGTCAAGTTGACACCGTCAACCATTCCCACTTCGTTTGTGTTTGTTGATTTAAATATTTAAAATGCCCAAGAATGGTATCTACTGTGGCCAAAACTACAATTTTAGTATCTCCCCATCTGTCTATGAAAGCATATAGCTATCAAAATACATTTTCATTTCAAATTGAATTTCGACAGCTAAACACTTCCATATTTGCCTGCCCCCCATGTATTTTTAATTGGCAGGACTCTCAAGGATTCTTGTGATGACTTTGGAAACAAACAAAGCCTGCAACCTTTGATTCAGCCACTAACTGGTATGTTTGAGGGATTGGGATGAAGGCATATACAGTGCACGGTGTGCAGAAATAACATTTAGGCCAAAATAATTATGTCTGAGTTTAACAACGTTACGCATTGGGATACAATGCTTTAGACATGGGTCATAATCACTAGGAAGCAAACGGGCCAAAACAGTTAGGGACGTACCTGAATTTCTCCAATAATGAATACGACCTAATGCGCTAATGAATACGACCCTGGACTCATTAGCCTTGCACAGACAGTGGATCGTACATTCCAAAAAGAGGAGGGTTTCATCTGAAAGAAAAAACAACAATATATGCAATGGATTGACACAGTGGGTAGCACTTCATACATTATGAATGTCAGTCATTTACATTATTGCTCAATTATTTTCCCACTCCCTTGCGCTATGACATGGTCAATGTTGCTGAAATGGCCATTTGACCTAGTTCAGGTCAAGTTGTTAAGCCTAATTTTAAGAATGATAATTGAGCTGAGAACTATTCAAGGCGGATTAAATTGTATTCTTGAGAGAAAGGGATCATGATGAGATTACAATGATTTGTACTGTACCTTACATTTTTCACCTGTCGACATGACAATCATTTCTGTTTACTTGGTGAGAGGAGTTGAAAGCGGTCAACCAACGTGAGACGATGTGCAACCAAAAGGTGACCCTTAAAGATGGAATCCACATCAGGAGGAAAAAGAACCACTGGCCGCCCCATCACTCGTTATTGATTTTGTTGCAGAGGAGCGTCAAGCAGTATGGTAAAGAAAAATGTGCAGTACTTAATGTGCTCTTCTATCACATGTGCAATGCTGTTGAGGGGAAAAAACAGTGTTCGTTGTTTGCAGTAACTTTGTTGTTATGATATCACAAATGGATGTGGCTGTTTCACCATTAAGGATTCAAAGAAAACGCTCTATTAATCCGATGCAATAAATATATTTAATGAATTATCTAAAATTTCGATAGTAAGCTGCCTTCGTTAGGCCCTTGATGACCCTTCTATAGAGAATGCGTGCTAGATTCCTGTCTCATTTGATATGCATAGGTGCTTTATATTGCAGGAATGCCTCAAATGGCCACTGAAAATGAAATGGTTAAATTATGTTTTTTTAATAGAATGGTCAGTAAGCATGTTTGAGTGTCTGAGAAAACAGACAAAATATGTTGCACCCAAAAAGTAGTGTTCTTAAAAACCTGAAACTGAAAGAGCTTTCTTTGTTAATTTGAATGACCTGTTCATGTTTGCCAAATGATAGTAAATACTAAGGAATTTATGAACAATATGCACAATATAGGTAGAGAATAGTGTCTTATATTGAGCATGAGACATAAATAGCCAATTTAAAGGATGTATTTTAGAGCTTGTGTTTGTGGTTAAGTTTCCATGGCAATCTCAAGAAGCCTGACCTCCAATGCTTTCAAACCCTTCACTTCAGTACACACACACACACACATGCACACACACACATGTTCGCTCACACAAGTGCGCACACACCTCAGACAGGTGCAAGTTCTCCATCTCAGAAACACTTGTTGTGGCATTGTATATCCTCTGTGTGTGCATACAATACCTCATGTTTTTTTAAGTGTTTTGATCTCCTATATATGACTGAAATATTTATACAGATAATACTGTATGTATATGTTGTGTATAGCTCCAGTGTACACAGACTAGAGAAACCCATCCGCGCTGGGCGTGGTCTTGGGGGGGAAAACTTTGAAAGAAAAAAAACATTTGAAAGGCTTTATTGGTTTGTGGAGGAGTAGAGATGGAGGGAATGAAATAAAATATTGGAAAGTATGTGTTTTGTTGCTGACTCATGTCTGTCTGACTCACCCCTGCAGCTGTTAGTTTGTGATATTATTTCAATATGGGTCAGGTATTTTTCTGTACCCCCTTGAGCAATTTTCACATGGCTTCCATTTGTGTCAGTGCTACATTTGGTCATTCATTCATTCATTCATTCATTTAAAGTCAATATTTTCATTCATGTCTTTAAACTGATAGTAATGCTGCCATGTTACCAGGATATTTGTAAATAAGACATGCATTTTATAGCCTTATTGAAAGGATATAATAAGGGAGTGAATGCATTTAGAATGTCACCTGTTCATCATTGTTCATTCATGTCCTTGCCCATGACTTCCGATGTTATCTGAGGTTGTGTTGAAAATGGCACTCTATTCCCTATATAGTACACTACTTTTGTCCAGAGCCCTACATAGATATACACTCAGAGACATACACTGAGTGTACAAAACATTACGAACACCTGCTCTTTCCATGACATAGACTGACCAGGTGGATCCAGGTGAAAGATATGATCCCTAATTGATGTCACTTGTTAAATCCACTTCAATCAGTGTAGATGAAGGGGAGGAGACAGGTTAAAGAAGGATTGTTAA